AAATAAATAAATAATTTAATAGATAATATATTGAAATTTTTCTAGAATTAAAAGCCACTTAAAAGCACAACAGAAAAAAAAGTATAGCACATCCTGTTGTAAACTCTTTTTTTCAGCAGCCAGACAGTCGTAAAAATCTTGAATAAAAAAAGTCCTCACCTCCTAGTGGAAGGTCTAAAGGAAGGACACCAGCTTACCCCTTCTAGGAAGGTACTTCCACAACAAAGGAATAGCCAATACCAAGAACCTATCTCATGTCTTCATCAAATATGTTTTGGAGGGGGTGGGGGTTATCTCCTTTCATTACTTCTCTCTCTTCATTGTTAACTTCTTTTGTTAATACTTTTATTGTAATCTAGTACTTGCACAGAAGACTTGATGAAGCTAGATACGCTGAGCCATTAGAAGACAGTTATTTTCATTATGGGTTTAACTCAACTTACCTTAAGAAGGTAGTGTCTTATTGGAGAAATCACTTCAACTGGAAGAAGCAAGTGGAGATCCTCAACAAATTTCCACAGTTTAAAACAAAGATTGAAGGTTTGTTTGATCTCTTCCTCCTTTTACTCTTGCTTTACTTCTTCCTTTTACTCGCTTTTCATTTTCAGGAAAACATTGCATGAGCTTCAGTGTAATCAGTTTGCCTGCCCATTAGTTTATTGGAATAATGTTGGGTTCTTCATTTGACTTTCAGATTTTTGAATGCTGGGGTCTATGACAGGATAGTGTTTGATTTTAAATGATAGCCACACTCCAATTTTGAACTTAAAACTAATAATGGAGTTTGTCTACGTCTTCCCAGCACCAGACGTACAGCAGTTCTGGAAATGGAACATCAAGAAGGGAAGCATAAGTATTTATCCTGCTGCTGTACTTGCAGAGTTGGATAATCCCTTACAAAGCAAGTTACTGGAGTCAGATCAAAACCATGAATGTTTAGAACTACTGAATGTCATGTGTTTATTTTTGGAGTCGTGTCTTCTATTATAGTTGATCTAAGCATATGCTTCTAAGTGGTATTCTCACAACCTTGGTGTGCTGCATCTCCTTCTTATCACCTGACACCTAGTAGTTCATAACTCTTGAATAGATTTATCCAGTGTCTAGTTATTTTTAAAGTAAAGCATTTTTAAAGTAGTGAATATATCTGTATCTTATGGCAATTAATTCCATTGTTGTTCTTTAGTCATTAAGTTGTGTCCGACTCTTCATGACCCCATGGACCAGAGCACGCCAGGTCCTCCTGTCGTCCACTGCCTCCCAGAGTTGGGTCAAATTTATGTTGGTAGCTTCAATGACACTGTCCAACCATCTCATCCTCTGTCATCCCCTTCTCCTCCTGCCTTCACACTTTACTAAATTCAGGGTCTTTTCCAGGGAGTCTTCTCTTCTCATGAGATGGCCAAAGTATTGGAGCCTCAGCTTCAGGATCTGTCCTTCCGTGAGCACTCAGGGTTGATTTCCTTTAGAATGGATAGGTTTGTTCTCCTTGCAGTCCACGGGCCTCTCAAGAGTCTCCTCCAGCACCACAATTCAAAAGCATCAATTCTTCAGCGCTCAGCCTTCTTTATGGTCCAGCTCTCACTTCCATACATTTTCTGGAACTCTCTGGCTTTCTCCATAAACCAGCGCATGTTAGCAATTTGGTCTCTATTGCCTCTGCCCCTTCAAAAACCAGCTTGTACTTCTGGGAGTTCTCGGTCCACATACTGCTGAAGCCTACCTTGGCGGATTTTGAGCATAACCTTGCTAGCATGTGAAATGAGTGCAACTGTACGGTAGTTGGAGCATTCTTTGGACAGCCACTTTGCTTTCCTGCATTTCCTTTTCTTTGGGATGGGTTTATCGCTGCCTCCTGTACAATGTTACAATCCTCCATCCATAATTCTTCAGGCACTCTGTCCACCAAATCGAGTTCCTTAAATCTGTTCTTCACTTCCACTGTGTATTCATAAGGGATTTGGTTTAGACTATACCTGACTAGCCCAGTGGTTTTTAGTACTCTCTTCAGTTTAAGCTTTAATTTTGTTATAAGAAGCTGATGATCAGAGCCACAATCAGTTCCAGGTCTTTTGTTGACTGTCTAGAACTTCTTCTTTGGCTGCAGAGAATATAATCAGTCTGATTTGGGTATTGCTCATCTGGTGATGTCCATGTGTAGAGTCCCCTCTTGTTTTGTTGGAAAAGAGTATTTGTGATGACCAGCTTGTTCTCTTGACAAAACTCTATTAGCCTTTGCCCTGCTTCATTTTGAAATCCAAGGCCAAACTTTCCTGTTGTTTCCTTTACCTCTTGACTCCCTGCTTTGGCATTCCAATCCCCTATAATGAGAAGAACATCTTTCTTTGGTCTCAGTTCTAGAAGGTGTTGTAAGTCTTCATAGAATTGGTCAGTTTCAGCCTCTTCAGCATCGGTGGTTGGTGCATAAGCTTGGATTACTGTGATGTTGAAAGGTCTGCCTTGGAGTCATATTGAAATCATTCTATCATTTTTGAAATCGTATCCCAGAACAGCTTTTCCCACTCTTCCGTTAACTATGAGGGCTACTCCATTTCTTCTATGGGATTCTTGCCTACAATAGTAGATATGGTAATCGTCTGAACTGAATTTGCCCATTCCTGTCCATTTTAGTTCACTGACACCCGGGATGTTGATGTTTATTCTAGCCATCTCCTGTTTGACCACATCTAGCTTACCAAGGTTCATACATCTTACATTCCAGGTTCCTATGCGGTGTTTTTCTTTGCAGCATTGGACTTTCCTTTCAATTCCAGGCGCGTCCACAGCTGAGCGTCCTTTCACCTTTGGCCCAACCACTTTATTAGCTCTGGAGCTACTAGTACTTGTCCTCTGCTCTTCCTCAGTAGCATGTTGGATGCCTTCCGACCTGAGGGGCTCCTCTTCTAGCGTCATACCTTTTAGCCTTTTGTTTCTGTCTATGGAGTTTTCTTGGCAAAGATACTGCTTGACAGTTCCTGCTCCAGGTTGATCGCGTTTAGTCGGAACTTTCCACTATGACCTGTCCGTCTTGGGTGCATGGCATAGCCCATAGCTTCTCTGAATTACTCAAGGCCCTTCACCACAACAAGGGAGCAATCAGTGAAGGGGATTAATTCCATAGTTTATTCACTACTTTTCTAGCAGTAGAAAAGTAGACGGGAAGCTATTCTTATCCTTGTAGCATTCCCTGCTAAGTTAATTAGGCTAAAAGACAATGGCTGAAATGCAATAGTGAGTTCCATCTAGTGTAGACCCAATGAATTAGTGGAATTTACCGAATCCCCAGTTATTCAGCAGGTCAACTGCAGTTGCAAGTTTCTGTCTACTGATTTCAGCCAATATCATATGTATCAAATCAGATGCTACAGATAACCTGTGTTTCCTTCCTTATAAATACATCTTTTAAGAACTTCAGAAATTTCTGCTTCTAACAACACACTGTCTATAGGGTCTAATCTGATTCAGTAATGTGATAGTGATAACGATTTCATCACTATCACTGAGTTCCTCACTATCACAGTTCAACTCCCTGTCACTGAGTTGATCAATGATAGTGATTTGCTCTAGACAAAAGGGAACTTAATCAGACAGCAGAAATTTAAATATAGAATTAGTTACGTCCAAGGCAATGTACTGCACTTTTAACCAATTGACGTTATTACAAACTATTCATTCACTTTTTAAATGTTTACTTTAATTTTTCTTTTTTGTAGGAATTGATGTACATTTTGTACATGTGAAACCTTCACACTTGCTGGAAGGCCAGTCAGCAAAACCATTATTAATGGTTCATGGCTGGCCTGGGTCATTCTATGAATTTTACAAAATCATCCCCCTCTTGACGGATCCTGCGAGCCACTGCCTGAAGGGCGGACATATTTTTGAAATTATTGCCCCTTCCATCCCTGGCTATGGCTTCTCTGAAGCACCTAACAAAAAAGGTATGTTTTGAAGAACATAAGGAAAGCCATGCTGGATTTAAACAGAAGAATATCTGCATTCTCTTTCCACAGTAGATAATGACATATTTATGCCTTTATCCTTGTAGTGATGTGTAAGTAGTCACCATGACTGAGAGTGGGAAAGTGATGAGAGATAGTACAGATTACCAATCCCATTTGGAAAGGAAATTCAAGAGGTGTGCTGGGCAGACCCTTAGTGATGCAGAGGTTCTTCTCCGCTGCTGAAAGGGGTGATGGTCTACATCCAGCTTGATTTACAAACTTTGCAAACTGGTGTAATACTGGCCAAGTTATGAATAAGAAATACAATCATTTTTTTAAGACTCCCCACTTGTGGAAAATTTCAAGCAGGTGTATTTCATTGTTTACTTGGAAAAGTAATCATTAATATGACCAGGGGGAAATTATTGTCTATGTACTTTGATGATAGCTATAAATCAATAAATTAGTATTTCCAGGAATGTGCAGTCATACTTGAAAAGGCAGTTCCACAGGATTCCTTTTCCTCTTCATAGGCTTTGATGGTGTGTGTGCTGCCCGTGTCTTCTACAAGCTGATGCGCCGACTGGGCTTCCATGAATTCTATATTCAAGGAGGGGACTGGGGCTCATTGATTGGTACTAATCTGGCTCGGATAGCTCCAAGGTCAGTTGACAAGAATCATATAAAAGGGATTTATGATTTGAGCAGCATCTTAAAATAAAGTGTCATCATGATATAGGCAGAACATCTGGAATACTCAAACATCCCATTCCTGGACAAGCTACTGGAGCATGTGGTGATTTCTCAGCTCCAGGGATTCATGGAGGAAGCAGATTATCCAGACCCATTTCAATCTGGTTTCAGGCCTGGCTATGGTACAGAGACAGCTTTGGTCGCCTTATTGAATGACCTACGATGAGAACTGGACAGGGGGAGTATATCTCTGTTGGTTCTGCTGGACCTCTCAGTGGCTTTCAATACCATCAACCACAGTATCCTTCTGGGCCGTCTCTCTGGGATGGGACTCAGAGGCACTGTTTTACAGTGTCTCCAGTCCTTCCTGGAGGGGAGAACTCAGAAGGTGGTGCTGGGTGACTCCTGCTCAACACCCTGGCCATTGGCCTGTGGCATTCCTCAGGGTTCTCCTTTTTCGCCAATGCTTTTTAACATCTACATGAAACCGCTGGGAGAGGTTGTCTGGAATTTTGGGGTTCAGTGTCACCAGTATGAGAATGACACTCAACACTATCTGTCCTTTCCACTTAATTCCAGGGAAGCTGTCTTGACTCTAAACCAGTGTTTGGCATCAGTAATGGGCTGGATGAGGGTAAACAAACTGAAACTTAATCCAGACAAGACAGAGGTGCTCCTGGTTAGTCAGAAGGCAGATGAGGGAATATGGATACTACCTGTACTGGATGGGGTTACACTCCCCCTGAAAACTCAGGTCCACAGCTTGGGTGTACTCCTGGATTCATTCCTAAGCTTGGATGCCCAGGTTTCAGCGGTGGCCAGGAGTACATTTGTACAGCTAAAGCTGGTGTACCAGCTGCGCCTGTTCCTTGAGACGTCGGATCTGGCTACAGTGACACATGCCTTAGTTACAACCCGTTTGGTTTACTGCAACACCCTCTATATGGGGCTACCTTTGAAGGCGGTTCGGAAACTTTCGAGTGGTCGAAATGACTAGCTAGGCAGGGTATAAATAAATAGATAGATAGATAGATAGATAGATAGATAGATAGATAGATAGATAGATAGATAGATAGATAGATAGATAGATAGATAGATAGATAGATAGATAGATAGATAGATAGATAGATAGATA